CATACGCAGCGGTCATCCGTACGCAAGGAAGTAAGCACAAGATGCCGAACACCCTTAGCTTGGTGCAGCACACCCTTCATGCGACTCGCCGAATATCTCACGGCGCTTCGCGCTTGGTGATGTGAGAGCCTGGTCCGGTGAGAACCCGGCGTGCTCCGTCCCGGCTTTGTAGGGATGCGAGGTCAATGCTCTAACGACTACGGCATGCACGACTATGAGTACCCCCCCCCTTCCGGAGAGGTCCAAAATGAAGTTTTGGGAGTTAGGTGTCGGACAAATGTTTTTTGTTCGCCCTTGATGTATTTCCTTTTTTTTTTTCCCCCACGATGCCCAACCGAGTTCCTCCACAAACTCGACGACTCTTATCCGCGACTGCGAGAGTCGGTCGTATATTTCCACGCAATTCACATCTACTTGTGGGGTGGGTGGATTGACGAGGCGAAACTGGAAGGATGCAACGATCAAGGTGCTTCTTGGCGTAGTCCTCGTCACGAAGTCGGAACGATGGATCTCGACACTTTATTTTAGTATCTCCCCCACATTCACAGCAGAGCTTAGGCATGCACCTCTCTCCACAACGCAATCCCGTCTTGCTTTCTTTCTCTCAGATGCCGCGGCGCTTTCACAAAAGAGCGAGGTGTGACGCTTCGGGCTCACGCGAACACCAACCCGGGTGTAGCCACCAGGCGGCAGCAACAGCAGACGATGCGGGGCCTCCGGACTATTCGCTGATGCAGGTTTGGGACAAGCGGTACCAGGACGGCGTGTCGGTGGAGTGGTACTGCGGCTTCGAGCACGTCCGGCCGCTCTTCGAGCGGTTCATTCCCAAGGTGTGTCCCATTTGGTTGTGATTCCGGCGAGAGCGAGCGTTCGCTATCACAACGGGCGTATTGGAACGCGTGGCAGAAAGGAAGGGTGGGGCATCCACAGGATGTACACGAGGGTACATGTATCTAGAGGCGCTGTAATGGAATAGTCTACATCCTCCGCGTGGATCTTTTACGTCCTTACACGCGTCTCTGGCCACGTAGATTGTAGCCACGGGTCTACCTGCCCTCTGGGGCACAGCACGGGGGGCGGAAATTTTCGGCCGCCGGGGGAGGGGTTGAACCCGTCCCTTGGTCGCCCTACGGCAACGGCGTGCGATCCGCAAGCTCGTGACCACGTGCTTCCTCCACGACCAGTATCTATTGAGCTGCCACGTACGTTGTGAGCTAATTAGACACGTGACACTTGAAGAGCATCAGTGACCATAAAGCGGTAACTGTCCTCGCGCCCCGCCGTTGTAACGACCACGACCTCTTCCCCCGTCCACGCCGCAAACAAACGCGCACGTACGCGATGCTGCTGTTCTCTCTCGGTGCCGCCGCCGTATCGAAAAAGGAGTCAAGCGTGCTGGAGGTCGGCTGCGGCGACAAGCCGCTGGCGTGGGACCTGAGAGACGCAGGCTACACCGGAAAGATCACGAGGTTTGACTGGACTTGACTTGACTGACCCCCTTTCGTTGGGTACGAACGGCCGTGTGAAGGCGCGGTTTTGTTAGGTTTGGGCGTTGTTTTTCCGTCGGGAGGTTGTTCCGACGCCGACCTACTGGTTTATATGACACCCCTCGCGGCGTAGGCCGGAACCGTTCTTAGGCCGGAACCGTTCTTGATTTGGAGTAGCCAATTTCAAGTGGTCCCTCCGGAGTGGGGACTCATGAGGGCGCAGCAACTCCATCAAGGGGCGACGCAAGATGAAAGGGAAGGCGGGCATCAGGACCAACCCACAGCTGTCTGCCAGCTGCCAGCTGCCAGCTGTGATGGCGTTTGACAAGCTCAACAGCTCACATTAGCTGACGCGTTTCTGACTCCAACAGCCCAAACGACCTCAACAAACCGAAAAGAAGATTTACAAATCTGTATACAGCAGTCTTACGGAGTTGTTCCAGTGCAACACCAGTAACGGCGGTTGCAGCGACAGATGCAAGGGTCGCATATTTTGGCGACAAACGACACTGCAGTTAGCAGCCATGGAGTCGCTCGATTCTCTACGATTGCCTGGGTGTTTGTTGCCGCTGTTCCGCACTTTTTGGTACATACTCCCACAGAATGCCAGATGCGTCTGTTGGCGGGAAATAAACTACGTCTGCGGCAAATAGACTACGTAGCGTGGGACTGCAGTAAATGCGCGTTCAAATGCACAAACGTGGGGTCGTTTTGTCCACCTGGGGATGGCTCCACAACGGAAAGGCTACCAACGACGGCACTCATTGTTTTGGAACGACCTCGGTCGAGAGCTACTATGGGTTTCCTTGCACCTGCCGGTACAGTGTCGGTACCACCCTCTTGGATGCGGAGCAATCGATATATTCGATCGCACGCGCTTTGTTTTCGCCCACGCTCTCACGCTGGTGGTTCACATTTTGGTGGCGTTTTCTTTTTTTTTGTTGTTATGTGTCCGTGTCCGGTAGAAAACCGTACTTCCGCCGCTTTCGCCCCCCCTCTGCTGATGATGAAGCTGATCGATTCCCGCCCGCGCATCACGCCTGCAGCTTCGACTTTTCTCCCACCGTGATTGAGCGGCTCTTGTTGGAAGCCCGGAGCTGCGACCGCAAGAGACTTGATGCGGGTGTCGACTTTCAGGTGCGTACCGCTCGCTGCTGCTGTGCGTGAGCTCTACGGCAGTTATGTTTTGGGGGCCGTGGTTCGTTTACATGGCAGCTAGCGACTGAAGAGGTGTGCTGGTTGCCTGACAGAGAAGCCCAATTTTCACGAACGCCCAACAATGGCGATGGCGGCTTGACGTGGTATAGGTTGTTGGTGGTCGAGTACTTGACCTGCTGCGAAAAGAGACGGTAGAATACGACAGTGCGCATGATATCGAGCGAGGGAAGCACTGAGAATACCTTGATGCGCTTAATGTGGGTGTTCCTGCATCAGCGAACAGGCTCTTCTTCGGCAGGCTAGGCATCTCGCCGTGTTTTGCCGCAATGCGTTCTGTCTTAAGCGGCGCAACTGCCCTTGCTACTTCTAATTGAAGAGTATTCGATGTATGTAAGCGACATGTTCGAATCTATCTGGAGCATCACTGCCTTTTTTCCCCTTACATACAAGTATAATCAGCTCTTCGGAAACGAAACTCCGATTGCTTCCTTGTCTTTTTTTTTCTCAGGTTCTGGACGCTCGGGATCTCCCGTTCGAGGACGGCTCGTTCGACCTCGTGGTGGACAAGGGGGCCGTGGACGCGATGCTCTGCGACGACGCCGGCCAGGACAACGCAAGGTACATGTGCGGGCAACAATTCCCCCCACGAATGCGGGCGATAATGTCCTCCAGCAGGACACTGGTTGATGCGTGCCTTCGATATGTTTTTTTTTGTTATTCGAGGAGCGAACAGGTAGGTAGGGTCGCCCTGCTGGTTTTGTCCACGTTGCGGCTGAAAAGTTTGATCCCATGGGAGTTGAAAGCTCCTGCCCCACTTTTTCTCCTTTTTGCGGCATGTTTGGTTGGTATCCCCAGAGTTCTCGCTGTTGCATAACTCAACGCGATTTTCTCTTGCAAAGCATCACTCTCGTATCAAGGCCTTGTTTCATTGCATGCCCGCCGCCAGACTCGGCGGTTGGCGTTTCCGACTGGCCTGATCCACGCCCGACTGTGAAATCGGCTCTCCGCACTCCAGAGACAGGAGTTGCGGGCAAGTTACAACCCCGTTTCTCAGACGCAGAAGGAAGGTGAACCTGTACGTGCGAAACAAGGTCATCTAAATACGCAAAGGCCCAGTTTGGTCGATACGGCGGTGATTCATGACACATTTCCATGGTCTGGTCAGCACCGGGATTTTCCTCGTGCGACATCTCGGCTGTCATCGTTGCCACCCCAATAATCGATGCATGATAATATCATTCAATACTGCTTTGATACCCTCACCCCATGCTTCTCTTTGTCTTCCCCTCTCCTCGCGCGTCATGCGCTCTCTGTCTTGTCCTTGGGTTGCAGGAAGATTTGTCTCGAAGCCGCGCGGGTCGTAGCCCCGGGAGGCTGGCTCGTGGTAGTGTCGCACGTTCACCCTTCCACCCCCGAGGGGATGGTGCTCTTGTCGGAGGTTTTGGTGCCGGCGCTGCGGGAGTCTTCTTCCTCCTTGTCCTCCGCCGGGGAGGGCGGGGGGAGGGAGGGCAAGGAGGGAGAATACGAAGAGGCGTATGAATACGAAGAGGTGTATTCCTGGTCGGTAGATGTCCACTGCGCCGACGTTGATGATGATGACGAGGAGGACGAGGAAGATAACGGTGCCGGAGGTGGCCGGGAAAGCGGCGACGGCGGAGGAGGGGAAGAGCGGCATGGTCATGGTCACGGAGACGGAGATGAACAAAGCGCGAGCGGGCAAAGCGCGGGGCCGAGCGCGTACATGGCACGGAAGGTCAAGATGAAAAGGGGGGTTTCTTCTTTTAGTCTCACAGGATTTAAACGTGATTGCTAGGCCATCAGTTTCCGACTTCCCCTCCTGGGCTTTCGGAGGGAATTGTGACTATTCAGCTCGCATGGCGGTGGCGACGCCGGCTTCTGACAGACCCTGCTTATGCGCGGGGTCCCTCTTGCGTGAAGTTTTCGCGTGACGGAAAAAGCATTTTTTCGCGTCGGGGTGACTACGGTAGTGATGGTAACGTCGGTGTACCCCTGAACCCGCTTGTAGTTAGTTCTGTCACTCGAGACTACCTTTTCGTGCATTGGAGATTTTTGGAGTTTATTAAAGCAAGGTGGCGCTTTGAGACCAGAGCGTGCTTAGTGCTCCCATCAAGACACCATGTTGCAGCACCCCTCCCCCTCCCCCTGCCGCTGAGAACCTTCGCGCTCTTTTTGGCCCCCTTGTTTTCTCGCGTCTGGCTCTGGCATGGGCGAACTTCTTCTCTTGGATCCGCCAGGTACCGAGAAGACACACACGCTCGTCGGCGTCGGGAGAGCCGCAAGGCATACCGGTCCGCATACACGAGTACTAGCGTAGGTTTTCGGTTTCGGTGGTGGCGCGAGACATCCGTCCTAGGAGTGGGTAGCTTTGGAGTGATCATTCGCCTGCGAGGCGAAACGAAAAGCAGCATATTGATGTGACATTTTCTTGGTTGTTTTCTTGGGTTCGTTTCTTTTTTCCTTTTTTCCCGGCATTCTTTCCTCGTGCTGATTCGTGGCACAGCAGTGGGGGTGGTTGTTGTGCCCATTGGAGGTGCCTCGGCTGACGTTCGAGCGGTGTCGTCGTTAGGCGTTTCGATTACACCGCCGAAAGTGTCTGATAAGGCTTCATTTGGGGAGACCCGATCACTCATCACTTTGGGCTCCATGATGGCACGCGTGATATCTGAAACCCGTGGGAATTCAGTGAGGGTCTCGAGCGATGTCTTCAATAAGCACGTACGGTGTCGCAGTTAATTTTTTTCGATGAATAGTATGGTATACTGCCATAATGATTTGGAGCAGTATGGATTGCACGGCTTCCCGGTCTAAAGTTGTTCGGGTGAGAGTTACAATCCACCGCCGTTCGGTTCGCCCGCGTGGTCGATCTGACGCTGTCTGGCCTCTGGTCTTTCCCGTTAGGTGTTGGGCTCAACTTATACTGCTCGGCCCCGCAAACCCTTAGTCGTGAACAGCGCTCGAACTACCAATCAGTACGTCGCTTTCGTGACGACCGAGCACAACGTAAGCGCGCATTCGCATGTCGTCCTTGGCACGTTGCCCCGTCAATGCCGCCGGTTGCTTCAACGGGACAGCATCGCGGGAGAGCCTTCAGAGCGGAATTTTCCAAGTCGCCCAACAAGCAGAATGTTGTTCAGTAGTGCCTCATCACCACTTCATTCCCTCGTAAAGGAAGAACATGAAACGATTCTCGCCTGACACAATTGTTTGGTGAAACACGCGTTCTTCCATGGAACGTTCCATGGAAAAGTACGAAAATGTACACGCCCCACCCCCGGGCACAATTCGACGTAGACCCTCTGCAAGCCCATTCTCGCCGCCGAGACAAGGAAATTGCATCCGTCAGTAGCACGTGTTCCCGTCATGTCTACCACGAAGTAACGATTTGATATTTTTCTGTTTTTTTGTTCCCGCCGTTTTCGGACCAGCGCGCAAAACCGATGAAATTCTCAGCGGATATTCACAGCTAAGCTCTAGCAACAACCTAACGAATTAACCCGCCAAATTACATACAGCAGGCACATGGAATTCCACGAAATATTTAATGGAAGTTCATGGAAGTCCATGAAAGAAATCAAAAGTTTCATGGGAATCCATGGAAGCCCATGACACCATGTACATGAAAGTCCATGGGCTTCTCTAAGACACTTTGCATGGATGTCTATGGACTTTCGTTGCGACGACGCCAAGTGTAACGGTGTTGACACACGTCGCAATCCTGCAAGACCCTGGTGAGACTCACTTATTGATTCATGTTTTTGGACAGCAGTGTATACTGTGTCCTTGCTCTCTGTGGTAGGCTGAGCATGCATGCGGGGGCAGAGCAGCTCCCTCTAACAGGGGCTACAAAGGCCCTATCCCCTGATTTATCGGGAGTAACATCTCCCGCACTTCCCTCTGGGCAATTGCCCGCACTGCCGTTGGTACTTTCTTACACATTCAAATCCCAGAACACCATGGACCTACTGTAGTCGAGTCCAGTGTCATGGACTTCCATGGCGTTCCATGAAATTCATGGGATTGCATGGCATGTTTTTTGGGTTCTCATGGACATCCACAGAACTCCATGGCATGTCCGTGGAATGTCATGAACACCCATGAAATATGTCATGGGAATCCATGGAACGCCACGGAATCCCATGGAATCCCGTAACACAGTTTCATGAACAATGCCCAATGCCCATGACATTTCCCACGAAATGTTTTATCGACGTTGCGCCGGGAGGAGGACTTTCGTTGCAATTCACATTCATAGGCTCAGATTTGTTCGACACTTTTGGGGTCGCTTCATTGGAATATTGATCGGACGCCAGTGAATGTTTCATGGTAGAGTTTTACCATAAAATATTTCATGGACTTCCACGGACTTCCATGGACGATGAACATGGCGTCATGGACTGCCGTGGACTTCCATGACCCTTTTCCATTGTTTCCAAGGACTTCCGTGGAAGGTTTCATCGACCTTCCACGGACTTCAATGGACTGCCTTCTACGGACTTCCATGGAACGTTCCATGGACGTCCATGGAAGTCCGTGGACATCCATGAAACATTCAATGAAGAAGCACTAAGTCTAATGTAGATGACTATGTAGATGACTATGTCGATCTCGCACTCATCAGACTTCGCGGCGAAATTCATAGCCCCCTTTATTTACAATAAAGGTATTTTCTTGATCACCACTTTTCGTGTTTCTCAAGCGGGCGGGATGCGGGGTGCGGGATGTACTCCTACTCCATCTGATCTGCAGTAGTAGTACTGCCCATCCATCTAATTATCCATCTATCTATGTGGCGCTTCGCGAATGCCAAGAGTTAATATTGTGAGAGGTCTATGGATGATGACACAGCATGCGCTTCAAATGCTGGAAAAATGCGGTGCCGAGATTTGTTCGCAGCTGGCTGTGTCGACGGAGAGCAAGTGGAGGACTGCAAATAAACAGAGACAGATCAGCCGATCAGCCAAACTTTCGCCCCGCCAGGGTTGATAACCATCATCGTCATTCAGTGCGGAATCGACAGGATTTTTCATACGTTTTCATATAATGTGTGAGTGTCCACTGTTGACATTCACGAGGCACCGTCACGAACTAGCTCACAACTAGCTAGGTGTCCGCGCAGTGAAAACGGATGGCATTGGCCAGAATGAAACCCACTACTGATCGTTGTCGCGTTTAGGGCGATGACTGTTGGCGTCAGTTGGCGTGTGACAACATCGGCGTCTGACGAGGACAAGCGAATGGGCTAAGTTTACGTTCACAACGTGTGTGGCAATGCGAACGTTTTTCATGGGGAAAGAACATTTTTGATTTATTATTCTGTCGTCTTCACGTCACATCAAATCTCACAGCACCAATGCCGTATATTCCAACACGTTATCACACATGAGAGCCCCTCTCTTCCCTCCCCTCCTGCGGTACTTTGCCTACGATTGTTAATGTGAGAAGAATTCAGCACTCTCTTACCTCTGTGTGCACACGAACTAGCGCTATCCACTAGGCCAGGAGCGGAAGCGAGAGAAAATCTCACTTTCTTCGCAAGAAAAGCTCGCTTGCGCCGGGATTCGAACCCCTGACCTGACCTTCAGAAGCTTTCGAGAATACGAGCTAGACCACCTGCACAACATGAATAAAGGATACTACTACAAAATCACTTCGACAATGGATTCGAGAGAAAAATAATGTGTTGATTTAGGGGCGTCGCGTTGTTGTCAGTGAGTAATGTCTCAATGAGATCCTCATACATACATAACGCAATGTTGGAGATTTTGTCAACACCTTGAATTTCATCAGTCTAGACCACCTCACAGGGGAAACTCTCAAGAAGAGCGACAAACCACCGCTCCCTCCCTGTAGCCACTCCAACCCACGCCATAGTCATGGAAGGGTCGATCTTCACGGAGGAGGCCGGTTTTCCGCACATCGAATACACGGATACTGAAGTCTTGGGACGTACGTACGCACGCGCTTGCTTGTGGATGCTGCCGATATATACATGTATGTATGTCCTGTAGTCTCGGTGTCCGGTGTCGAGGGACGGAGGTAGGTGTTGTTGACGTGTTGACACGACGTGTAGACTATCACATTTTCTTCACCTTGACAACGTGATGCACGTTCTCTTCGCTGTGAGTGACTCTCGAGCAGCACGTAAAACGTGGCCCATGCAGCAATGGTCACTGATGACACAAGCCGAGAACCTCGCTTGCTTATCCAATCTTACAGCCACATGTCGCACGAACTTGAAAATGATGTGGCGCTGCGTGTGATCCAGGATGTTTATAACTGCACAGCTGGACGGCGAGCACACTAACTATTACTTCTGTGTTGTGCCGATACAGTATAGACACTTCTTCCCCGATCTTCGCTCCGAACCTTTCAACCGCGCGCCAGAATCTTGCGCCCGGCGCTTCGCTCTACTTGCCGGAGGTGTCTGTACTGCCCCCCCCAGCCTTCCCGCGACGTTGCGTTCCCTCTTCGTTGCCTCTCGCAGCAGTTGGAGAGGATGGGTTTTCCGTCCGCTGGCCAGCGGCCGGATGCCGGGGGGACACGGGCGGTGTGTAACCCCCCACCGCCGGGGGGAACACAACAGGGGGGTGCAGCGCACCACGTCTTCTGTCCCGGTTAGCCGTGGGTCTGCGTGATTGCACACGATCATGAAACCACCCTGAAAGCGGGGTTGGGTATCGTCACACAAAAGAAACGACATTTAGTTTGTGGTCAGTCTTCAAGTTTGCAAAGCAAAGGTGCTCTTCTTCACGGTACCACGTCGAACTGTCGGAGGTAGTTTCCAGATGAACACGTCCAAAACTACAGTGTTTTCCTTCGACATGTGGCTAGCACGAACGGGTACGCCGAATCACACATGTCAAGAAACGTGGCAGTAGCAATTCAGAAGGGATTAAATGCTGAACTGAAAGGCTGGACGTCGATAGCGGCATTTGCAACACGCACTAATATTGTGTGTTGCGTTGTTGGGGCCTGGTTTCGATATGCATTACACCCGGCCGCGCACGTGCCTGCGGATGATTTGATACCAACACATCGTTAGGATCCACAGGTGGCATTTTGAGGCTTGACCTCAAAATGGTTGGGGACCTCTTACCCAAATGAAGCAATTCCATTTGCAATAGGTAGGCATGCGAGCTGAGTCTGTCTATCAATCTATGTTTAGTTGTGGCGTGCCAACCTTGTGTTCATGCACCCGCCGCCGTACACGCGCGTGCTCGTGGGTGCTGGCCACCATCCGTGGGATCCAACAACAAGCTTGAGTTTTGGCATCGGCATTCATGCGTCTCTGTACCAAGTGAAGTAATTCCTCTCGTAACAGGTGGGTTGTGATCTTAGTACATAAAACAATCAAGGTTTGGTTGCAACATGCCAGCCTCACGGAAGTGCACCTACCGCCATAACACACGTGAGTACGGATGCTGCCACCACCCCAGGGATCCAACAACAAATTTGAGTTTTGATCTCGTCATGCTTAGGTGTCTCTGGACCAAATGAAGCCATTCTTTTTGCAATAGGTGGGTATGTAAGCTGAGTACGCAGCACATCCCTTACTTGGCTGCATCATTCCAGGGTTATGAAGAGACTGAGGTGCTACTGCTGCTGCTGGGTACGTGATGTCGGTGGCTGTCTTCTGTAGGTACGCTCGAGTCTATTCCGGATATACACTGCTACGCTGCACAACCGGTCCAAAGAGCCTTGCCGACCCCTAGCGTATGAGTAACCCAGCGTACCTTTGTCGGAGATTGGACGCCTACGGTCCTGCTTCGGTCTCTGTCGACGTTGATGTACGGTGAGTACTGCGCGGATCTCGCCGCTT